AAAAGTGGAAAGGAAATAACAATCCAATCGCCTTCATAAAAGTATATGTAAATGAAAAGTGCCCGTTGCGTATCAACTTAATTTGTGTTCTTACTTTTACAACAGAAATCATGAAATTAATAGACTTCTTGTAAACTAACTATTTGTTTATTCCTATTCCTTACTTGGAATAAATCATTTTTACACAAACCAACTTCGAATGAATTGTGCAAGTATATACATCTCTGACCTTACATGCATTTTCCCTGGTCAAATGGAATGCACAACATCTAAAAGGATGTTTCTTCTCTCGATATCAAAAAGAGGGAGGTACCAAGTGGACAATCAAACACCTTAAATAAAAAAAAATACGTTATACATTTGGTGCGTCTGGATTGACCTTCATCTGGAACGCTCATTTCTCACACCCAAAATGAAAAGAATGAAAAAATTAAAAACAGTTAATTCAAAATAATTCCGTAAAAAGAAAGACAGCTGCATTATAACTTATATAAACTGTACTAACAAACAAACAATCATCTACAAAACACAACATAATAAAATAAAGATCGAACAACACGAACCCCGCCAAATATAAAAACCAGATAAACTCAGGTGCCCCGAGAGTAAATAGTTCCTGTTTTATTGGAGAACGTTGTTCCTGTGGTCAAAAACGACGAAAGGAGGACACAATTGTGGCTTAGATAATTGGAACATTTTCGTTATCATCTTTGTCACAGATATTCCATACAAATCAACCAATGTTGATGTCGATCGTTAACTTTCGAAAACATGTCTTCAATATAAAAAATAAGGAGATGTGGTGTGATTTCCAATGAGACAACTATCCAACAGAGTTCAAATAAGTGGATATAAGCAATTATTGGTCACCGTACGGCCTTCAAGGATGAGAACAACCTTTCTCCAACTTTATCATTAAGAATTCTTGTTTTAAAAGAGTCATTGTAAACAGCCACGCTCTATCAAAATACCATGATACGAATATCGAGCCTGGGATTGTCGTTGGAACTATAGGAGATATATATTCTAATTTTCCTTGGAGTTCGGTGTTTTTGTTATTTTACTTTTTTCTATATATAGGTGCTACTGAAACGTTGTTCACAATGTTAAGATTAAAATTTTCTATTTTGTAAATCTACCCTCTCTGTCAAATTCTAGATTTTCAAGAAGCAAAGATACGAAGCAGACTTCACTGTATCTTTGTTTATCAATGTATTTTAAAACCTTACATTTGTTATATTTGTAAATTTCTGTTTAGTACTAACGCATTTTTCATATAGCTGAACAATTTTGTCTTCCAATACATCCCCAAGGGTGACTGGGGGATAGAAGTATGGTCACTTGGTCTTCTTGCGACTGGCAGTTAAACCAATGCCAAAGTATGGCGTCCGTTTAGCTGCGCTGGAGCTACGCATCCATGTCCGGTCCGAATGTGGATGTTAAATATGATGCCTCGTATAGAGAGAGTGCTACGCTCTCTGTGCGTTAGGTACTATTGTAACAACTCTTTGAGGGGTCCGTAGGTGGCCTGTTACAAGGCAAATTGTTTGTCCCTATCCAATATACCGCCATGCAGGACATATTTGCCACTGGACGTTAGGGAAACAACAATCAATCAATCAATCAATCTTCCGATGCATTTCATATGAAAAATCAGAAGGCATGTTATCTCCTCCCAAATTTGTTTCAAATATATATATGAAGATGTGGTATGAGTGCCAATGAGACAACTCTCCATCCAAGCCAAAATTTAAAAAAGTAAACTATTATAGGTCAAAGTACGGTCTTCAACACGGAGCCTTGGCTCACACCGAACAGCAAGCTATAAAGGGCCCAAAAATTACTAGTGTAAAACCATTCAAACGGGAAAACCAACGGTCTTATCTAAATAAAAAACGAGAAACGAGAAACACTCATGAACCACATCAACAAACGACAACTACTGAACATCAGATTCCTGACTTAGGACAGGAATGCTTACATTCCAAGAACAAGCTCACCTAACTATCTTTCAATTGTATTACTTTTTTTTTTTTTTTTCAAATTAAAAAGGGTCATTGATTAAATACATAATTTAAATTCCATCAGTAAACATCAATCGATGACGAGAAGGATTACACATAGACCTGATATTTTTGTAAATTCTTCGAGTTCTGACCTGAGTAAACTTTTGGTTACATTTTTATTATCTTCTGAAAACTACAGGAGACTTTTATACCCTTTATTATAAAGATGGAACTTTGAAACCTTTTTTCAAAGATCGGACAGGTTCTGCATGCAAATTCAATGCTTATCGCAAACAATCAGTTTCAAGTGTAATTTGCTAGAATTTCCGCACAAATGTTTACCGATAAGATAAGACAGTTATTTCTAATACAAGGAACTTAGCCTGTGATCCAGTCTCACAGCTCGACTTACTGAAGCGAAGAGGAGGTTGGACCAGGATGCCAGGCTAATAATAACTTTGTGTTATTTGCAAGCTTAAAAATATAATATAAACATTATTAAAGATATTTTATGAAAGCACTTAATTTTCAGCTTACATATAAACTTGACCTTCGATGTAACCAATATTGACACAGCACTTTAAAGCAAGTGTACTTCATAATCATTATACAGTACTTCATTTTATATAAAAAAAGAAATAATTGAAAAATTAAGTAGGCCTTTGTACAAGTAATCTTTTAATATGTAAAACAAAATTTTAATTAAGAAAATAAGGAATTGGGAATTATATATTAGATACAGTTACACATTTCGAGGAACGTTTATTTATCAAACAAAGTTTGTTTTGATTAAAAAAAATGATAAGTATATGAAAATAAGAAATGTTAAAGAGTTATATTTAAAAGAGAAATGAAATATAAAACTTTGTGTAAACAATCGTCTATAAATGCTTGGAAAAGTTCAAGTGTCTCTGCAATAGGTCATTTCTTTCTCTTTTTTTTAAAAAGTTTCATTGATTATAGAACAAACAAGCAGTTTTTGGATCAAAACTGTACCAAAGCAATATATTTATACAAATCATTCACCGTAAATGATAACGCAGTATTATTTTAAATTTCGCTGCAAGCAATAAGTTCATTTATAACCGGTTTTTAACATTTAAATTATTTTGATATTAGATACCTCACTGAATATTTTATAAGTATCATAATAGACTTGATAATAAAGAAATTGAAATTACATACCCTTTATTATAAAAACCCAAGGTTTGTCCTAGTTTATATAAATACTCGTGTCATAATTCCGTTTTATTTTGTCAATTTTTAAAGTGTAAATAAAAACTGAAAAATAATGTCACAATATCAAGACTTCGTATAGCAAGAAATCTATACTGACGGATCAAATATGAGGACAGACGTTAAACATCAGATAAGTGAGGAAGGGAAATTATTAAAACGCAACAAACGTCGTTTGAAGAAAAACAATGCATAAGTAGCGAAAGGAAACAAATAGAAGAGAAAATGCAAAACCAGTTATCCAGAATAAATCTCAACTGGACTAGTTGTTTATATATTGAATATTAATGAAAGTACATAACCGCATTATATTATAGAAGCTGAAAACTTTTACAAAACCTATCAAATCCAGTAGTAATTGCGGTGGTTCGTCATTGGGGATCGCTTAAAATTATGTGTATAAACGCAATTTGGTATTTTGCTTGTTTGACAATTAACCATACAATTTCTTTAATTATTTATCTGTTTACTGGTTATTAACAAAAGAAAAATAACAGCCTAACATAGAAATTATAAATGAACTCGGTAATTATTTACCATTCTGAAATTGTAGAAAACATCAATACCTATCATTAAAATTCATAAATACGGCGTACATAATAATGTAAAATTAGACTCGTTTAAACAAGGTAATTCTCGGCATTTATATTCAATAAAGAATTTGTTGTTGCACAAATAGCACTACATAAACAGGTGTACACCATATATCTTTTACAAGGGTAAGTCCTATGGAATACTGTTTTCTTTTTGTTCAGTCTGGGAAACTTTTCCTTTAGGATTTTCTTGTTTTGTTTTGTGAAGTGAATAATCAAAATTAGTTTTTTTGCTTCTGAAGAGAATCATTTTTTAATTTTTTTCTATTTAGGAAGTAAGGTCGAATGGGTATCAATAATATTTTTGATTGCTTTAAGTAATTTTACTAACCAATTTATTTACCTAACCAATTGAAAGACTTAAATTTCATCTCAAACTAAAACATATTTTTCATGATAAATGTGCATACAGAGCTGATAAGACGACGACGCATTATCGGTTATGACACCTTCTTTTACACACTAACTTCTGTGACAATTAGATAGTGTTTTGAAATCTATATTCATATCATTTTCGGTTTTATTTTTCTTTCAGAAAATGAGGACCAAAAAGCCAGAGTGGTTAGAACAGTATCAGGAAGTTAGTCGAAAACAACAAGAATACTTATCAAAAGTACAAAATTTGAGGCAAAGCATTCAGAACAAAGACGAACATGTTCTCATGGTTTCTGTTGAGCGAGAGCGACACTTGAAAGGTCGTCGTTCAGATCGGCGACATCCTACAATGAACAAAATGAAACAGACAGTAATAACATTTCGACCAAAACCGTTTCCATCGAGACCTATTCAAGATAGACGATTACAACTTGTTCCCCATTCGATTCCAAGGAAACTTCCTCCCATCATTAAACCGAGTTTATTGCATGTTGATTTAACTAGTGGGTTGAGGCGAACTGATCCTACCATAATTCCCCCCGAGTTAGAACAAGCACATACAGACTTGGAAGCTATTGAAGCTATTGCCGAACGCAATAAAATTGATTTGAAAGGCATGTTAAGATTGCAAAGTCCACATTCTAAGCGTAGACAAGAACTTTCTGTTAGTAAGGTGTGTTTAAAAGACATTACCCCAGAAATTGTAGCGCCGTTGTTTAAAACGTCTTTACCAGATATGGAATACATTACAAACTTAAGTTCCAGGAAAGAGATTGTGTCAACGGAAAAATCTAAGTAATATCAGTTTTTATTTTATATGTATGTACAAGAAAAGTGCTACAACAGAGGTACATAACCTTTTCGTGTTCATAATGATTTGTGAAAGCACAAACAGTAAAAAAAAAAAATAATTGTATAATGGTAACATTTTTATGACTAAAACAAATATATGAACGAAGATATAAGGATGAAACTTTGAATTTACAAGTAGTTGCATCAGTATCTTTAATTTGGGTTTAAACAAACTTTGATAAAAGATTGCTCTACAAAGCATGTGATTATTTTAGTACTGTTTAAATCAAAATATAGTTATTTATATAAATCAAAAACATGATATAAATAACACTGTAAATATACATGACGACAAGTCTTATCCCATTTTTCTGATAATGAAATATTTGTTTTACATTAAGTTAAATATAATTATAATGGCTGATATGCATATTTAGGTTATTATAGCACGACTACTGACGAATATTGTTTTAAGAAAAAAAAACATTGCAGAAGCTTAAGGGTCACTTCGTAATGTTCGCCCTAATTGCGCTTCAAATGAAGATTGTATAGGTAGACTTGACTGTCTTGTTATTTTTACCATTTTTTCCGTACTGCTAAATATGCTCGGTTGTAGAATATGTATCGCACTCTACAGATCTGTTCACACATTTTTACTGCACTAATAATAGCGCAGAAATCTTATATTATTCTATTTAATCTTGAGAGCGAACACTTTTCAGGTATTTTGTTTGATCTCAATTAATTTTACATTGCACATGTAAATCACTAGATATTGGTTCATTTCAAAACGTTGTTCCGATTGAGGAAGTTGTAAACGTGATAATCAACAACACTGACTTACATCACAAAAAATCATAGCTAACACAAGACTTTTTTTCCTATATGATGACTACTAAAAATGTTGGGTTTTCGCCATAATGCATTAAATTTTCAAAGTACTTTGGGATTTATTTTACAACTCCCAATTTGTGGTTACATAAAGATTATCACTGAAACTTTAAAGTTAAAAAAGTACAATGCTAATGATTCGTCTTTCATCTTTGTCACGCATAGAATAAAATTTACACAAAACCCATTTTGTAGTTGTCATTTGAAAGGAATTCATGACGTTTTGGGAAGCATACATTAGAGATATCCAATAATACAATGATTATCATAATGAGATAAGGGATAGAAATGATCAGCACGTTACTTAGTTATAATGTTAGTAAACCGTTTCCAAGGACTATCTAGACGGTAGTATTTAATTGTCAGTCAGGAAAACATTTTTGTTTAAGTCTGTGTTTCAGTGCAGATCTTAAAAGTTCTCGTTCTCTCCGGACACCGTTCAGTACCGATCTATTCTCTAACAACCGTCTGAGTAGATATGGTAGAGTGTCTTCAATGCTTCCATATGGCACTGACTTGTAAACCAAGTATCCAGCTCGTCCTATAAATAAGCAAAGTATACTACATAAGAGAGTGACATAACTACTCGCCCTACTATTACAATCTTATCAACAGTTGTAGGTTGCTTGAAAAGTCAACGATCATTCTTACAAAGCGTCAAAAATAAATAAATATAATATTTTTTAAAAGTATACAACACCAAATATTAGTAATACATTGTAGTATGAATATTTATATTTTTTTAAATGACATTACATATGTAGTTTGATTTGACAAATGATAACAACTTCTAACTATCGTATTAATATAACAATATTTAAAAATTCAAAATTAGATTTACATTGAATAAACCTCCACTTTATATTTATCAAATGCCTTTTCCAAACCTTTTCATGAATAATGCACAAATAATATCAATTAAATGAACACGTTAACAAGAAAATTAAATTCCGCTGAAGCAGAGACATATATGTGTATATATGTCTCTGGCTGAAGCATACGACAAAGAAATTTCTTCTTTCATGCTAAATACACGAACATAATGATAATCTCGAATGAAACTTAAGGCCACTATCTTAGTATTACCATAAAGACAATACAAAGAAAAGAACTTAAATAAGATGATTTGTTAGCATAGCTGATTTGCTAAATTAACTTTTGTAAAATAATTTGTAGTTGCAATTTATTATCATTTAAATGCATGTAGCCCTAGATATACTTACCGGCGGTGTGATGAAATGATAAAAGCTGTAAATTTTCTCGTTGAGAACATTTATGTACGTTTCGGCAATAAAGTTTATCGACAGGTTGTAGGTATTCATATGGGCACCCATTGTGCCTCTTTAATAGCAAATTATGTCCTGTACTGTTATGAATAACCGTTTATAACCAAACTAAGTAAAGACTCGTCTTATTTCCATTTAATTGATGTAATAAACAACACTAATCGTTATCTTGATGATATTGTTTCTTTGAATAATCAAGAATTCTCTATATATGTAGGACTCTGAACCGTCTATATATGTAGGACTCTGAACCGCGATTGTACTGAAGTGCAATGCAATGATTTGAAGGTGAAGTGTGTTTTTGATCACGCTGAAGTGCGATGGTGACATTGTGACGCTATCTTGTTGATAGCTACACCGAAGTGCTTTAAGTTACGTAAAATTTAGTTTTAATATTTTTCATGTACACATGTGGATAAAGAAGTAAATTTGTTTAAAATTGTTTGATGCAGCCTTTCGGTTTTTTTTCAAAAGTTTATCATCGACATTATAACCCGTTTAATTTAAAACAGTCATGATAAATATTTATTGCATTTCCAGTCAAAACTGTAACGTTGTAGTCTACTTTTTAATAAGGCTTGGGCAAAATTAAAACAACGTTCATACAGTTGTTCATGAACTTACCACTATATAATTATAGTTGCTACATACAAAGTGTATTTTCCATTAAACCAGTACTAAATTAAATGACTGAAAATCGTTGTAGTTGTTTGAACCGCAGAACGAAACAAAATAAGTTACCAATCTTTTTCAACTATATACATACATATTATCGATACCGAAATGCCATTAACGTTTTATGGGCAATAATGAATGCAAATTATATACTAACCAATTAAAAAATATAATTCTCATAATAATTGTACATTTGTAGAATTTAAACTAGCTGCACGCCTCATATAAACCATCGCACATCAGCGAAAAGACGATCGAAATCCGGTGCAGACCATCGAAATCCGGCGCAGACCATCGCACTTTAGCGTCCCCATCGCACCTCCGAGTCCTACATATATACTGCCGATATTTACTCAAAGGAACTTCCTTTAAATAAATCATATATAAACAACAATAACTGTCCTAAAGTTTCCTTGATCTAGATATTTCAGTTTTACACGTGAAACTCTACACAAAAATTTACGACAAGAGGGACGATGGTCGGGGATGTTCCTTTGCTACCATCTTAATGTGTTTATATATCCCAACTCGTTCACTTTCCCTGTGTCTGTAGTGACGTTTTGGATTTCAATGAACGTAATCTATGTATTACTGGTAAATAACTAAGTCGAGGATTTCGTTACAAGAAACTACTTAAAACCTTTACTAAATCCTTTCATAAATACACATATTTGGTTTTGACGTTTTGCTGTACCTGTAGAAAACTTATTACGAACGGAAAAGCATATCTCAATTTGTACGGTATTTGTATGGCTTCAAACTAATTTTCAGTAACTGCGTGTACTCGCAGATTTGTACTTTGTGGTCTTTTGTGCTTTTGTGCTTTGTATCAGTCTGATGAGTGAGCCCTTTTAAATGATGATTATGGTTTGTTTTTATGTTGTACTGTTACATCATTGTCCCAGGTTAGGGGAGGGTTTGGCGTCAACAAACATGATTAACCCCGTCACAATCTGAATGTGCTTTTCCCGTATCAGGAGCCTGTAATTCAGTGGTTGTCGTTTGTTACTGTATATCATATTTGGTTTTCGTTTTTTTGTTTTGTACATAAATCAGGCCGTTAGTTTTCTCGTTTAAATTGTTTTACATTTGTCATTTCGGGGCATTTTATAGCATACTATGCGGTATGGGTTTTTTCTCATTGTTGAAGCGCACGGTGACCTATAGTTGTTAACATCTACGTCATTTGCTCTCTAGTGGAGAGTTGTCTCATTGGCAATCATATCACATCTTCTTATTTTAACATTAATTTACCAGTTTTATAAAATAAAGCCTCACTTTTCTCCAATGCAAGCTAAGTCATCTTTATTTATTGTTTTTTTAAATATCTTCCCTCTTCCTTAAACATATTCTAAACTTAAGCCTAACATGGCAATACAATGTAAAAATGTAAAACTACAACACCTTTTCTAACAGCGTATACTGCGGATATGTCGTCAACAGCGAATTGATAAAAGGACAAACGAACTAAATACACCACTGATAAGTGAGAAAAGCACATTTACCTATGTTTTAGTACTCGATTCTCCACTTTAAACTAACAAAATGTACAAAGATGATTGAACTCTAAACAAAAACGAAGAAAAAAAGAAATTACCTCTATAATGTCTGTATTACTACAATAAGCAATATCACTTTTTTATTTGCTGTGAGCGGGAAAATGATCTGACTGTTTAGAGACTTTGAAATTTTTTAACTACATGATCATTAAACAGATTTACTCATCTTCAGCTATCAAAAAATTAATTCCGAGTGTTCTGGATGAACGTTAATATAGGAAAACAAACTCGAAATGATTAATATAAAATAAAATTAAGTTTCTGATTAGTGTTAACTATCGGCAAAACATAAATGAGATACCTAGAGCATACGAAACTTGATCACCCATTCCATCAACCTGTCCAAATACAACTGATCCATCTTGTTTGTCAATGTCGAATTCTTTCATCCTGAAATAATTACCAGTAAGTTCAGCTGAATCTTTTTTGATACTTCATGGATATGATTTTTCTGAGCTTTTTTAAATTTCTATCGATCTTTTTATTACGAAATCAATAACAGAACATATGATAGACATGTCTTCATTAGTTAATTTAAATACTGTAAAACAGTTAATAACTTTAATTTATGACACCATTGTTATTTCAATTGCTCATTGTATCTACAAAAGTTGAGTGACAGAGCCAACAAAGTAGTGTTGTATTCAAGAACCAGCTGCGAATAACAAAAAAAAAAACATTATGAAATGTATGAGACACCGCAATCGACGAAGCACTTTTCGTATTCAACAAGTCTGAATTTTTCGAAATACTAAGGATTTTCTACTCGAGCGTCACTGATGAGTCTTTTGTAGACGAAACGCACGTCTGGCGTACAAAATTTAAATCCTAATATATATATAATGAGTTTTTTTGTGCATTTTATCATTTTATCGACAAGCTTCTCAGTGGCGTTTGTTTGTTACACTTATACGGCTTGCATTTACTGCAGCATCAAAATAGTCCCGCCATATTCACACTAAACGGGCCTTTTGCCTATTTTTTATACTAAGTAGTAGAGAGCATCCGTTTCCATTTATACCTGACTATGCTACGGCTTATTAATGAACACGATCGAGTATATTATATCTGTTGAAAGGAAGACAACAACACTGTAAAACAAGTTATATTCCGTGGACGACGAAAAGACGAACAACAGTAACAAAATATTACAAAGAAAACTGAAGATTGAGCAACACGAACCAAAGCAAAAACCAGGGAGGAACTTTGGTGTTCAAGATGGGTAAGCAGTTGTTGCTCCGCTTGTTGTACCCGAAATACGCAAAAAGACTTTAAAATCCAAGTCAGCAGCCGGTTGTACGAAAGTGGCATTAGCCTAATGGGACATTAAGTCTTCATTAAGCCTTTATGATGCATTAGGCTAATGAAGACTTAATGACTCATTAGACTAATGACACGTTCGTACAATCGGCTGCAGGTGTTCAGAAACCTTATTATAAAGTTCATGACATTATAAACTCACGACCTAACATTATTTTGTTACTTTTCATGGTGTACATTTGCTATTGAGATTTAAATGTCACTTTGTATAATATTGTTACATTAAAAAAATTATGAGATTACGAGGTTTGGTTATCATTTATTATGCAAGTTATCCTTTAATGTAGGTAAACAATCCATTAAAATCGTATTCGATTAAAAACAAACCATTTGAATAAAAATTTTCTGTTGATGCTCCTAAGTTGTCTTTCTTCTGTTCGAACTCAAAATCAAAATGACAACAAGCTGTTAAAAATTTTAAAAAAATTAAAAGACATTTTGTTTGCTTGTTGTATAATTGATTATTATGTCAGGTGTTTTGTAATGTAAAAATTAGAATAACAAAAAAAACGAGCTCCAAGGAAAATTCAAACCGGAATTCCCTTATGAAGTGGCAAAACCAAAAGCTCAAACACATCAAACGAATGGAAAACAACTGTCATATTCCTGACTTGGTACAGGCATTTCCTTATGTAGAAAATAAGGTATGTTAATAATCATGTAAATGTACAGAGTTCAATTTAAAAACTAAGAGGACATTCAAAACTCCTTAGTCGAAGAAATACTGACAATACCATGTAAAATAAAAAACGAAAAACGACGAACAAGTCCACAAGACACTAGATAAAAACTAAAACCTAACTATTACGAACCCCGGGGTGATCTCGGGTGCTCCGGAAAAGTTTTTGCCTCACATTTTGCATCATTCGTATTGCGCATGCAAGTTTTTATTTGTTGATAAATCTCATTCAGTAATGTCACAATCGAGGAAAAGAGGAAGAGAAGGTGGTTATCATTTCATCAATTTATCAGATTCATAAATTATAGAACGAGTTGAACGATTGTAGTAATACATTACCTATCTGCTGCATGGAGCACAGTACTCTCATTATGTGAGGCAACTACAGTCTTAAATTTGTTTGTATTCCTCCTTGTTTCGTCAAATAGAATTTCAAGAGACTTGTGGTAAGTATCTGACGTGTCTTCATAGCAGTTATTTATTGGACAGGGATATTCGTGCTTTCTTGCGAGCATTCTTTCCTTATCCATATAAGCTCCTCTCACAAGTTTTGCGGAAAAAGCAACACCATGTGATTTTATAAATTTTATATCTCTTTTGAGTAGTTCTTCCGTTCCCTAAAACACGTAAAGAATAATGTGAGAATTTAATTTACACGCGCACGTAAAAACTATAATTAATTCTAAAATAACGATTATGATCCAAACTTTCAAGGAATTTAACCTTATTTTTCTAAATTATATTTAGTTTCAAATTGCATTTTAGGAAAGGCAGGCAAAGTTTAATTTTTCAAAGCGAAATCTTGTATATTCATTTTAAAAATTATAACAAATGATACTTGTGATATGTATTATTTAGTAAACTTTTGTTTAATTTCTAATTTTCAAGTTTTGAAAAATCAAAATTCCACAAATCTTAATTACTTTAATCAACGATAATTGTTTCTAACATTTATTAAATATACTCTCCCAAAAAAAAGAAACACAACATCTTAAAAGAAATAGAATTTACTTCAGATTTTCAACATCCTTTTGAACTCAAAAATAAGCATCATATTACACTGAAATTTAGCACACTGGTTGTTCAGACTTTAAAGTTCAAAGCCGTCAAATGACTTCAACTCAAAGTTAAGGATGTTCGCTACTCTGTTTCCAAATAACAAGCTTATTGAAAAACTGTTATAAATTGATAGTATATAAATAATGAAAGAAAAAAGTTGAAAAAAATGAAGGGTTCAAGTGCTTCTTTTCGAGATATTGGCCATTGAAAATTTGGCGGGAAATGATTCTCTCTAGATTTTTCATACATTCAACATTGGCGCCTTTTTTCTTTCAAAAACTATGAAACAATAACACGGATTTTATAAGATTTTCAAATGTGGCTTTTCAAACTATATATAATAATATGAAAAGAAAAGTAAAGGTAAGCAGGCAAAATTTTTTTATGGCACTACATGGATAAATCCAGAGGATTCAAAATATCTGGCAAAAATTCAAAAATAACAGAAGAAAACATCCTTAATACTCATCATTAGCTTGTAACAAAGCACGCATCAGTCTCGGCATCAATCAATCAACGAATATAAAATTGCGGAATTCTCCCAATTCATGCTCAAGAGCCTGCTGCAGTTCTTTCAAAGTTTTCGGTGCTGAATGACGACTGCGCATGCGTTTATCAAAATCTTCCCACACATGTTCTATTTGGTTCAAATCTGGTGATTTGGACGGTCAGGGGAGCACTATTACGTTATTGTTTGCTAGAAAGTTAATAGTAGCAGGAGCTGCATGTGTGCAGCCGAATATGTGCTTATCAACTCTCCGTCGGCGGTTGGTTCATTAAGTACAGCATGTATGGGGTCAAAACATTATCACTGTATCCAGTGGCGTTAAGATTGCCTCGGATGTGCGCCAGTTGAGTTTTTCGTGCATAGGATATGGAACATCTTCCTCAGCCGACATTGTAGACCTCAAGGACGCAGTTCCTTGCAAACCTCCCATTCCGGCGTCTGTAGAAACGTGTACTCCCATCTCTTCTCTGCAGCATGTATCTTGATTCATCGATGAAGTAGACTCGCCTCCATTTTTGCAGGTCCCAGTCCCTTATTCTGTTGCAACATCGAACCCTTTCCAGCCGATGCCAGCGTCTCAGTACTGCGCTAAAATATAGCCTTCTTGCGCGTTAGCCGTTTTTATGGAGAAGATTCCTTACTGTCTTTGTCGGAGACCTTGGACATTTGATACTATTTCTGTTGCTGTCATGGTCCAGTTTCTCAGGTGAAGTATCCAAATGTAGCAATTTTTGGATTCCGATGTGATCCTAGGTCGGCCAGAACTTTGACGGTTAGCTGTTGAACCGGATTACTTTTTCAGTTGCTAAATCGTGCTCCGGCAAACATTATAAAGTCCAGCGATTGCATTCTGTGATTGACCGGCATGGAAACGACAAATGACGATGTTACGGGTAGCTGTGTATAGTGTTGGTATATCATAGGTCGTAGGTTCAATAGGTAATTCAAAGACTGAATTCAATTACTAGATAACGGTTAGATTTTTTCTACACATTGAACTCACTTTAAGAAAAGGCAGGATTCGTACGTGCAACCGCCCTTATTATTCCCGTACGCCTCCTCATGCTGCGTTACACATGCTGGTTTAACATGAACAGTGAAAAAAATGGCTTGAAATTTCCTAAATAAACTCAAAATTTCTCTTAATATACAATGGAAAGAGAACTGACCTTATTTTTCAAATCTTACATAAACATCAATATTTGACCCTTTCTACTGTGTTGATATTTCCCAGCTCGTTCACTCTGTCTGTGTGTCTGTAGAGACATTTATGATTTCAATGAACGTACTCTACGTATAATTGGTCAATTATCAAGTCATGGATTTCGTAACCACAAATCACTTTAAAACTTTCCAATATACTTATTTTGATACAACAAATTTTGTTTTGAAGATTTGCTGTACATGTAGGAACCTTATAACGAACGGGATACCTCATCATAGTTTGTTCTATGATGTTGTTTATAAGCTAGTAAATTTAGATTTGATCCACGTCAACTTGTTGATCCTTTTGCAGATTTCATTCTTTAATGTTATCAAATTAACACTGTAGATAGATATTTGAGTATTTTCTCTTTGTCGCTACTAACATTGATTTTGGTTTTAATATATTAAAAAGTTACTAAGTATGTATTGTTTATTGTTATATCGTTATGAACATTCATGGTTCTTAGGAGTCTTATATTTTGCATTGTACATCCTACTATTCTCCACTTGTTTATGAAGTCTATATACATGTACTTAGTCCATTGGCTTCGTATTACTTGATATTCAAGTCTGGGAAACATGATTTATTTATTAGTTGTTTTTGGCTTTAAACTAACTTTTAGTAGTTACATGAAACTTTTGAGTACTCTTAGATCGATACCTTGTGTCTTGTTTTTTGTTTTTAGTTGATTTTTTGGGATTCGTATCAACCTGATAAGTCAATCTATTTCCAACCGATGTTTACATTCTGTTCTTGTTTTGTGCTGTTATACCAAGTAATAGGTCAGAGAGAGGGTTCAGCTCTCGTAAACACGTTTAACCCCCCAACTTTATGTGTGTGCCTGTCCAAAGTCAGGAACATGTAATTCAGTGGTTGTCGGTTATTAATGTCTGTCATACTTGGTTTTCGTTTATTAACTTAGCATAAACCAGGTAGTGGGTTTTCAAGTTTGAATTGATTCACATTTTGTCATGTAGGGAGTTTTAACTTAACTATATGGTATTGTGTTGTGCTGATTGTCTAAGGCTGTATAGTGTCATATAGTTGCTTGCATTCACGTTCTTTTGTCTCTGGTAAAACGTACAATGAATTTATACTCTTTTTATCAAAACAATACTAGGTGTTCATGGTTGCATAAAGTTGAACCTTCATAATGTAACTGGTAGACTACATACCTTAAGATAGTTTTGATACGTGTAAGCGACCAGTGGTTTCTCATGATTATAATTCAACATCATTGCCAATGTTATCAGATTTAATGCTGGATTCATGTATGTATACTCTGCATCTACCATCAACCATATGTTCTTCTCTTTGCCTTTCTTTATGTTAAATATGAAAAAGAAACACGATCATTCTATATTAAATCGAATATAATTTTCAACAAAGGAGAAGATCAGAACCATCATATGGCCCCTGAAATTGCAAACATATACAATTATTTAGTCTTTTCAAAATTATATTAACTTGATTGAAGCAAGCACGAATAGTATGATATAAGCTGGACCATATAATACCAAAATATTTTGGGATGATTCTTAGATGTCATAAGCCTGTTGAAAATATTTACCTAAAATGCAATCATAAAAATAGTTTGAGGTAAAAATAGTTATGAGCTAAGGTGTTACCCATAATGATATTATCATCTTTGATAAACATATCATGTAGGAAAATATTTTTGATAAGGTTCGGCTTATTACTACAATATGACAGTTTTATGTTTCTGTCTTCCTCATATCTACATGTTAATGAGCCATTTTTTTAGTTTTTCATTAAATAAAAGTCATTGAATATCGAATTAAAAATTAAATACAAGAAGATGTTTGAAGCCATAGTGCAAATATGTCAGACACAATTAAAAATTATAAATACTTATCCCAGAAAAAGCCACATGTACTGTCTTTTGAACATATGCAGGATGTTATGTAATAGAATTATAAAACCTTTTACTTTTCTCAAGAAAAGGTTCATATAGGAGTTTTATCATATCTTCTCATTTTTATATGAGATGAAATGTAAAATAATATTGTACCTTAACGTGATAATTATCTCACTGGCAATCATACCAAATTATTTTAATATTCTTTTCGAAAATAGATAATGAGTAGCTTCAAATCAGTTAATGATATAAAAACAAAACAACAAATTATGATATAAACATATGGCAAAACAGAAAGCTCGATTTGTCGTTAAAAGACACAATAAATTGAAAATAAATCCTACAACATGATTACTTATTGAGATCTGACTTTGTCATAATTTCGCAAGAAATAGCAAAATCCCCCTTAAGTGCATTCATCGTGCCATGAAAAAACATTGTTATAACATTGAACATTGTACATTGAACAAGTTCCTATGAGAAGCGCATGACTAGACTGTTGTTAACACTTACTTGAATTATCAAGATTTAAACATTAAAATTGATCGTCGCAAGTATGGTCAATATATTTATCTATAGTCTGCTTTCTTTTCTTCTTCTATTTTTGCTTGCCAAATGATGTTTGTTTTCTTTATAAACAACAAGAATATTGACAATACTCATTTTAAGATACATGCATTACAAGCCATGATATCATTTAATACCTTCTTGAGATTTGCTTTTAAAACATAATGAACATCCTTAAAAGCCTCTACCTTCCACACAATCATTTTACTTTCACTGATTATGGTGTAGTTAAAAAACACATATTTGAATTTCAAAAAGTGCAGTTGATACAGATTTTTTTTTTTTCTAGATAATAAGTGTCACTACATAAACCTTTAAATGATTTATATAAACTTAAGCTCAGCACAAAGACAGTTTCTTGGTAGCTGCAAGTAAACAAAGTTTGTCCAGCCACTTAATTACCCACATTTCAGTGAGAGCTTGCATCTCATATGTTCTAGTGAACTAGAGATTAAGGATCTAAAAAAGATCTACTACCGATGCTACCAGGTCTGCTTCATATCTTGATCTTTTCTCGATATTGATAAAGATTGACGAATTCAAACTGGAATTTACGACAAACGTGATGATTTCAACTTTCCAATTGCTAACCTCCCATTTCTTAGCAGTAACACACCCTCTACTCCATCGTATGGCGTTTACATATCTCAATTGAAACGTTACGTTCGTGCATGTTCTCTTATGTACGGACTTCATTAGAAGGGGTGTGCTCCTTGTACCAAAACTGTTCAAAAATAGTTATGAGGAAGAACAACTGAAATCGACACGTAATGGGTTTACGGTCACTATCACGAATTGTTTCAACGAAAATACATATATGTGTGTCAACTCATTAACGCCATGTGTTTGCAGACTTGGATATTTAGATACCAGAATAGTCGTCTAATCAGTAATTATACCAATTGCATCCTATTTCCGACGTTTTGACTGAGTGGGGATTCGCATGAAGTGTGATGCATGCATACCGGGAGATACTTACCCGGTCAGGTTCCTTTTGAAATTCATTCGTTTTGGTTTTTTTTTTTCTTAATTTGTAATTTGAATCAATTAATAAGATTTGAACATAGTTTTACTATATTTATATTAGATACATGTATAAGACGAGCCAGTAAATGTATCATGTCAGATACAATAATTCATCGGTTGTACATTAAAAAATTGTACTAATCCACGCCTTTAAAAGCAAATCTCAAAAGAGGAGAGAACCCTTGACCCGTGTTTGTCTTTCTCTTAAACCACTTTTTATAGGTAAAAGTAAAAGACAAGGTATGGGGAAGATGGACATGAAATATTCCCCCTCCTTAATGTACAGAAAATAAAATAAAAAACAAAGAAGCTATATTTTCATGGTTTATAGCTTCTATTTAGAACTCTCAATCAGCTGAAAAGGCAAACAAAATATTGCCCTTCCTATTTTCCCACCTCCCACCAATCTCAACAGTTTCTAACTTCAGATATCAAATTGGAGAAAAACATATGGATTTCGCATAATGACTTATGATATAATTATTAAAAAATAAATAACAAGAATTTTATTTCTTTAATGGACTTGAAAATTATTGAAAAAATAACCTTAAATGGTACTACTTTTACTCTGTGGACACACCTGGTCTTGCTCCCGTTAGAGTTCATGCGATTTCCTCAGTTTTTGTTTTTTTCCTTGATTTTTCTCTTGCTTATTGATTTATGATATTTGAACGTCGGCAAACTACTGTCGCCTTACTTTACTGCATCAAATGCGCATTTCGACAATAAATGTCTCTTCAGTGATGATCGAGGTCACAAAACCAAAACCTAATACAAAGTTTGAAGAACTGATATAACAGAAAAGGACCAAAATTGTATTCAACCCGGACAATCAATCGGAGATATGCACGAAGGAGACGCATTCCTTAATTTGATTTCCCCTGTTTTATTACAGCAAATATCTTTAAAACAATATTTGGTTTTTGAAGTCAGTACCAAAATAAAATGTTTTGGACTGAATATATTTGTTACAAAAATTTCTTTTTATGATTTTTCATAACATGAAATCTTAGTAGAATGCTGCAGGTGTCCATCATGAATTACGGAAGACATCAATGACCACAACATTGTCGATTCATTCACATGTTTATTACTCTAAACAGCTCTTCTTCGAATCAGTCAAAATGGAATCATGCAAATTAAACAATGAATAAATATTAACTAAGATAAATACCTGAAAGACCAATTTGAGCCTATTCAAACCGGCTTCTAGTTGCATGTTCTCTGTACTTGTTAAATTAGGAATGTATGGCTAAAAAATATACATATATATTCAGAACAAGAACAACATTGGTGCCAATTGCTTACGTAAAAATTGATTTTTTAAAAATTTTAATCCACAGAATGATACACGAGATTTGTGAATCATTCGTGTACAAACAAATAAACAAGACGTATACAAGTCACATCAGTAAACAAGAGCAATATTTGACTATAGTATTGAAAAGTAAAATAAAACGATTTGACAGTAATTACACTAACTGTAAAGTGGTAACAGTAACGAAAAAAATGCTTGTATTCAAGACTAAGTCAACTAAATTGACGATTCATATGTTTCAAGTAATAAAAAATTAAATATGATATCATACAAAATTAATATGGCAAAACATATCACAGTCAAACATATTTATTTTTGAAATAATTGTAATGATTAGAAAATATTAGAAAAAGGTCGGTAATTAGCATTTATATTTTTTAACCTTAAAAAAGTTGATCTATTTAGTATTTATATTTTTCCCCCTTTTTGAGACTTGATTTCTTGAAAAAATATATTCCAAATTCACCATTTTTCAAAAAGAATAAAAGATATATGTCAAACGCGTATCACTGTGCATGGGTGAACACATTCCATGTATTAAAGTTAAAGAACAGTTTTAAAATAGAAAAACAAAGGATATGGGGTATCCATCCATGACATTAAATCAGTACATGCACAGCGAAAATACACAAAGAGCAAAGGAACAACGCTTTTATTGCTGTTCTTCATCTCAAAGTCACAGTGAGGCCTTCAACACGGAGCAAAAAAACTCTCACCTCACTGCAATTTTAAGACGGCCCATAGCACTGGCTTGAGCGGAATTTTTTGTAAAAATAATTTCGATAGACTTTGTAAGATGTAACATCACCAAATTGGGCCCGGTAAAAAAAAGAACATACTGGAAAGTAGTACAGAATTAATACAAAATAGTTCCTACTCATAGGTGTAAATATAAAACTATGTAGAATATATTTTAATAGTTAAGGTATCAAGGAAGGCCTGTTTTGGCTTATTTAAATATTTTTAAATGGCACAGTATTTTTGTTTAAGTGTATGTTGATTCTTTTGCTGACCATTATATGGAAATATGAAAAAAATCAATTTATTCGATAGTAAAATAAAGAAATTTTACCATTTTATCTGCTCGGAAAAATGTTGCAATGTCTTCAATGACTGCTTTGTTTTCTTCACTGGGATTTGGGCAGCATGTTGATAATTTTGTCTACAAAGAAGATAAATTTCATTATAGGGTGCATGAAATATTTTACAGTATGAAACATTGAAAAACACCACGACCAGGAAAGGTCTATAATTGTATATTTCAAGCTTATTAGCAACTTTTTATAATTAAGAATCGAATTAAAAACTGAAATGGTTTCCCTACATTAAATACAAGGAATGAAGCGAATGTACAGATTATCATGTATCTTCGGTAGATAAACACAACCCGATAGGTATATGATCGGGTATATACACTGTATCATCCGTCTAAAAGATGAACTATTATATTTTAACCGTGTTTTTCATTGAAGCGAAAAATGAAAAGTATACATAGATTTTTAATAGTAGATTTAGATAAGTATCAGATTTATGAATGAGAAGAAAAACTATCACATTCTATTCTATGAGTTGTGTAACATAAGCAATAACATTAAATTACACTCACGCAGATGTCACCAGGTATTAAAGCTGTTAGCTTCACTTGCATCATGGGGATTTTGTCATTCAGGTTAGAAACAATGTCGAGACAATCCATAGTTTTAATCATGTTCTGATCAAATTGTCGCTCCATTTGCCTTAAAAAGTACGAGTAAGCGCATGTTATTTCAACAAATATATACAAATTTATATGTTTAGAATGCTAGCATATTTCATTTTGTTGAAAAGACACCCATCACGACAAAACAGCATTAAAGTTTACCAAAAAATCTCAAAACCTGTGTATGTCTTTAATGAGAATTTCGCTACTTGTAAATGCAAGCTTTAATTTATATCAATTCATTCAATTACTTTTATTACCTCATTGCATCGGTCTGCACTTTTCGTAGACTAAGTACATTTAATGATTTTATTTGTCATTTGGATTTATTAAGATTACTTTTAACCGCAAATGGCATGGTGCATGTATTCAGAATTCAGGTTTGTTTTATTGACATTTGCCGTCTTTTTTGTTTTCATTTGCTTAAAATATTTCACTTTTATTGAAATAAGATAAATACATGAATTTGACGTACTCTATATCATATTGATCTCCGACGTCATCTTCCATAGGTACTGCTAAGAGTGGGCCAATTCCTCCCATCCGTAATACCTTCACTTTGACCATTAGCTCTTCCAAACTATTTCCTCCGATAAACTGACCGTATACGGTTTTATTTTGTAGCGCAGTATAAAGTCTGTTTCCAAGTAATCGCTTTGACAATTTCATCAACTGTTAATACAATGAAAATAACTGTAATTGTACAATACAAAGAAACTGTACCAACTATCAGTTTGGTTTTGAGGCATACTGGCTACTAACTAAATGACAATCTTTGATCCTCGTATGAAACATTCTAAAAGTGACTTTATACAAAACCTTTCTTCGAAAACGGTAGTTAGACAAAACAAGTTAAATATTTCAGGTTCTATATTCCTGTGCTAATCTTATACGAATGAAAGGAGATATATACATCAAAAAGACAATAACCAAGAGAAATTAATATACATCTAGATATGAACCTGTAACTTTCAACAATACATGGGTTACTATACAATGAAACAAGTTCTTAGACTAAATCACGCCGATTAGAAAAAAAAATGTCAACTGTTACATCTCGTACTATCAAAGCTCTACCAACAATACCAACATTCTGTAAATGACAGAAAACCTTAAGATATAATAAACAAATCATTGGGGATGTTCTTGACTTGGGACAGTTGCAAGAGCATTTTGCACGGTTGAAGTATCATTTTTACTTTCTCAATGGGATATAAAAAAGGGACATGGAAAATTTACAATAAAAATCGATTCAGAAAGAAACCCATAGCTTTATACTACTGTTATAATGATAAACATACTATATTTTTATGACGTCATGAATGAACTCTTCTATGAAATACAACCACTGATATTAGATTGTAAGATTCAGTGGGTTAAAAAGTATGCGTTTGCTGTGCTAACAATTTTTAATACAGTGTTGTTTATAATTAATTTGTTTGTTATCCATTATATCGTTATTATAGAGTTGAGTACGTTTTTGCTTTCGTTGTCCTCTGGTTTTGATGGTATGTTATTTTGTTAGTCCACTTAGTCATCTAGTATTGTTTTATTTGTACCTGTGTTTATGTCATCCGTGATATTGATAGAGTGATGCTTTATGAACTACTTGTTACTGTTTGTTCATATATGATCCCCCGATCGAAATTATAAAATAGACAGGACGGTTTCATACTCGAAAAATAAATTAGTACCTCAATTAAACGAAAATGTCAAAGAGCCTTTTCCACGACAAAACAATCTGCAATGGTTTTCTTTGTTTATACCTCTTTGTTCTTTCGAACGTTTGCTTTGATGGAAGACTTTTGGTAGTCTCTGTCAATTCTTTCACAGACAGCTGGTATGGACTCAGCACGTATTATAATTTGATAAATGAAATGGTCAAATGTCTATTCTATGAAACTGTTGACCAAGGATGTTTTTTTTTTGTGTTTTAAGAGGTTATAATTTGATTTACTTATAACCCACACTTTTTTAAAAGTTTTATACAACATTACAATGCAAATATCTTACCTGTTCACCATTATTTACTATTCCATCAAAAGAACACAGTTTCAAAACAAACAATGCTCGCAAAATTTCTGGTGTTTCTTTGAATTCGAACACTGTTTTGTAGTCATCAAATTGAATAGCAGATCTTGCGTCTTTTGTTAAACCTGTTTTCGGAGTTTTGCCTACTATTGTATGCTGAAAGCGCTGTTGGGAAATCGGATGAAAATTGCATTTTAACAAACATTGCAACGCTGCATTTAAATGCGGTTTCATAGATGTGGATGAAAAAGTTATCCGATTTGACTGTTTGACCAGTGAAAGTCCTCGCATGTTGACCAGAAGAATAGTCACAGTCGAAAGTTGTTAAATCAAGTTGACAAGTATATGTAAGTAAACAAGAAGTATACAGGTAGCTGTCATTCAATACCAGAGAATCATCTTCAGGGTCAATACATGTATAAACTTTGGATCGTATATCATCTATATAAGTATTACTAAAATTTGTAGGACAAGATATTGTGACATTTTATCCTCTCACTTTAATTTAACATCGAATGTTTGGTGACTATGTTACACTCATCTATCCAATCGAACTTGAAATAAAAGATACAACGATAGAGTTAAGTCTGCCTCATATGTTGACTTACATACAAATGACAATGAATGTAATTTGAGAACAAACCTTTACGACAAAAGGGCTGATTTCAGCTTCCCAATTGTGAACTTTCCATTTCTATGCAGCAACATATCAGTAGCACTTGCATATGAAGTATATATCTCCCAGTTTATACGATGTCCCAAATCCTGCATTTCCCATAATGTTTCCTTGATAGAGGGTTGCTGCTTATATGGAAGCTATTCAAGCAAGGTTGACAAATGGTGAATGTGAAGTCATCCCTTCGAAAGTTTTACGGACGCTATCTAAAGCTGGTTAACTTTTATGGAATTTCTATGTCACAGATGACCACGGATATGTTTCAATTGTCATAATCACAATCCTGTCGTCTCTACCGCAATTGTGGCATCACCGAAAGAGACTTATCACCGAATTTGTACTTACATGAGCAACACGACGGGAGCCACTTATGGAGCAGTAACTGCTTACTTTCCGAAGTACGTGAGTTCAACCGGTTTTTGGCGGGGTTCGTGTTGTTCAATTTTTAGTTTTCTGTGTAGGGGTTTGTGGACTTGTTCCTCTTTCTTCTTTTTTACGTTCTCGCCAATGCGTTATCAGTTTTTCTTCGACTTGTGAGTTTTGAATATCCCCTTGGTATCTTCCGCTTCTTTATTTTAATCGTTACGTAAGTACCTCTCAATCTAAGGTAGACAATTATACAAATAACTGGGGAATTTGTTTGATTATGTATGATTTATTTTGTGTTGCATACTGTAATAGTTTAGATATGAATTTTAAAATTTTGGAAATTGAGAAAAAATGACGATTATAGTACTGGGTGTTCCTTGACCAGTATTGTTCATAACATTTGACAGTATTTCTTCAATATCTAACAATAACAAACATTAGAATACTAAGTATTCAATGAATCAATATACCTATCACCTACTTGAATGGTAATTATAGGAAATGAATTGCTTGATAAATTAAGTATGTTGACTTATGACATATTTCACATTTTTTGTGTTAGTTTTGTCTCTGACGGATGCCTACATCTCCTTTATTTAAAGAAAGCATCGAAGTATCCATCTTCATGTAAATGCAGAAAATTTATAAATGGAGTTTTGGCGTTATACCTTACCGGTATATAGAAATAGGCATATATAGTACGATTGCCAATGAGACAACTCTTAATCAGAGACCAAATAAGATAGAAGAAATACTAAGATGTCAGATTATTATAGTTGCCGCAAAGAAAATAATTTGGTACATAAGATATAGAACTGGTCGAAATAATCTGCATTATAACGGGAGTACTGCATAATTCTTTCTGCAACAACAATTTCAATTCAAACAAAATGCATTGCAGGGTACCTTAATAAAACGACCTGTGTAAACAAAATAATATACAGTACGACCTTTTTCAGAGGTGAACATCCAGATTTGTCAGGTTTTATATCCGAGGGTTTATATCTCGAGGGAACACGACTCTCGCAATTTAACAATGCTGTATGGTCATCGATTTAGATGACAGTGAAGCTAGGTTCACATTGCCGATCAGATCAACTCGATCAAGCCCGATCAAGACATATTAAGCGATCGGGAGACTGGTCTGACTCGTTCGAGAAGAATGCTCGGGGTGGTCTACCTTGCTCGTCATCGATCTGACTTTCTACCCGAGAATTTTTGACATGTCAAAACAAAATTGAGTAAGGATCGAGAAGCCAGTCACTCGAGAAGAGATCGGGAATTCGTCGAGAAGCGGTCGAATTGATCGGAAAAGGATCGTGTAGAGATAAAGTTTGGTCGGAATACAAATATTTTACCGATCAGTACTCGATCATCACGACCTTTGCTCGATTAATATCCAATCGTTTCTCAATTAACCCCATTCTGTATGATTTGTGATCCAGATTAACTCGACCACTGCCCGATCGCTTTCCGATCACTGCGACTACTATTTTTTTTTTTACCCCAGACCAACTCGATCAATACTCAATCTCTACCAAATCTCGACCACTTTTCGATCTCTACTCGGTTATACACGAGTACACATATTTGCTACAAGATTCTATAAAAGAGTGCGCAGATCTAATTAACTCTCATAACTTGCTTCCGCAAAAATATATTGTCCTTGTTTTTTTTTTTTTTTTTTAAACTGTACAAAAGACTAAATCAGCAAACATTCCGCCGTTTACAGTACTTGGGTTTCTATTTGTATCTATCTGATGAGTTAAGCCTTTTTCAACTGATTTTTATCGTTTGTTCTTATGTTGTACTGTTACATCATTGTCCAAGGTTAGGGGGAGGGTTGAGGGCTCACAAACATATTTTACCCTACCACATTCTTTATGCACCTGTCCCAAGTCAGGAGCCTGTAGTTCAGTGGTTGTCGTTAGTTCATGTCTATCATATTTGTTTTTCGTAAATTGTCTTGTTATAAATTAGGCCGTTAGTTTTCTCAGTTGAATTGTTTCATATTTTTCATGTCGGGGCTTTTTATAGCCGACCATATGGTATGGGTTTTTCTCACTGTTGAAGGCCGTACGGTTGCCTATAATTGCTTACATCCACTTCATTTGAACTTTAATGGATAGTTGTCTCAAAGGCAATCATACCACATCTCCTTAAGAGCTCTAACCACCTTGCCCACAAATGCAACTGCTCTTTTTCAATGTAGATATTTTAAATGTATGATTTTACCTTCCGTGAATTGCTGACTGATAACCAAATAAATGGAAAATGTGTCCATCGGACACAGATAATGCCCCCGCTTGCGCATAACGTTATAACGAGTCATAACTCAAGAACGGTAAAAGTGACGCCACCCAAATTCAAACTTCGTCTGTGTTTTATGGTAATAAGCATTGTGTGTAAGTTTCATAATATTTGGTTGAGACAAACTAAAGTTAGAGAATGGAAACTATTTTTTTGGCACGTACGTACGTACAGACGGACAAGGGTAACACTTAATGCCCCCTCCGCTGCGGCGGGGTATAAAAAAATTCAGATGTTTTTTAGATGGAAATTGTACATACCCGACCGATTCCCGACTATCCCCCTACGACCCCTATACGATCAGGTCGATCTGATCTGATCTGGTCGAGATCGGGCTGAGATCGAGCATAGTTGAGTTGGTCTAGCTAGTCGATTAAAGATCGTGTAGAGATCGTAAATTGGACGGAATAATCGAATATGTATTTAATTAGTGGTCGGGTTGGAGTCATGATGGTGTCATTAAGGAGTCATGAATGGTCGAGTTATGGTCGTGTTCAGTCGGATAGCGTTCGGGTAGAAGTTGTAAACAGGCCCGATCAAGAATTTGGTTACGCTTGGTCGTGAGAATTTGGGAAATCGGGATCATCGAGTTGATCTGATCGGCAGTGAGGAACCTAGCTTAATTCACGGCTGTCATTTGGTATATCGAGAAAAATGATAGTGAAAGAATAAGTAACGGTGGTCAAGTATTGAATTTGAATCGTAAAAGATCTTGTAAAGGATCGTGAAGGAAATCTTATCGAGAGGACACACTCAACGTCAATAAATATTCTGATTTATTGAATTATAATGACAAATATTGGAAAAATAAAATTGTCTGTCAAAATGGTTCAACATTATGATTTATATCTGAGAAAAATCAAGGTTAAAAAGTACATCGTTTTTACAAAACTACAAAAGGCAGATTGCTCATCGAAATTTCATAGAAATAAAAATGTAAACAAACATGTTTTTTTTTTCATATTTTGAATGCATAAACTACTGTTTTCTTAAAAAATATCGTTCCATATTACTGCTTAATATGGGTTTTTAAGTTAAATTGTTTTAGTTTAATCAGAAACTTTGCAAAAATGGGAATATTTGTAAAAATTTGATATTTCGGATCGTGAAATATCGGGTACCGCTTTTTGATGATCGTGAGAAGGATCCTGAAAGATCAGTTGCCTCTTATTCGTTATTGCAAAAATCCATGAAAACGATCAAATCATTCTTTAAACACATGATAATTTATATTTGTAATTGATATAGCAAAAATATGTTTAACCCAGCCACATTCTTTATGTGCCTGTCCCACGTCAGGAGCTTGTGGTTCAGTGGTGGTCGTTGGTTCATGTCTGTCATATTTGTTTTTCGTAAATTGTCTTGTTGTAAATTAGGCCGTCAGTTTTCTCAATTGAATTGTTTCATATTTTTCTTGTCAAGCCTTTTATAGCCGACCATACGATATGGGTTTTTTTCTCATTGTTGAAGGCCGTACGGTTGCCTATAATTGCTTACATCCACTTCATTTGAACTTTGGTGGATAGTTGTCTCATTGACAATCATACCACATCTCCTTATTTTTATATTCATTACCTTTTTAGACTGATGGAGAATTGAAAAAAAATGTCACCAACGATACCAATATATGAAACAAAAGGTGTCAAATATTTCTAATATACAGAAACTATGTCTTGTTTTAAAACTAAAATAACTCCAGGTTACAGTGCTGTATCACTTACCGTGTAGAAAATTTATGAATACATCTTTTAAAACTGAATCTGATATATGTATAAACAACTTTGTATCCCTGGGGTATTTTGAAATATGATAATTATAACATTTGTAATGAGGGTATCTGAGTAACATAGTTTTACACTCAGTACGGTGTTTTCCCGAAACAATAATATACTATTGATTAAAACACCGAACATGGTTATCGAATATGATACTGGTTGAATATCAGGATATCAATTTTGTTTTCATTTTATCAGAATAATTCATCATATACACCAACAAGCACTTTTTATCTCTTTTATCGTGTCTAATCTAACA